GAAGTGATACATTTAAGAGAAGCCTTGAAACTTAATAATTATCCTGATAAATTAGTCAGGAATTATATAGGGAAATGTAAAAACAAAATAAATAATGATAGTAGTGATAGTGATGGTAATAGTAATAATGATGATAATAATAATAATAATAGTAATATTATTGACGACATGCATGTCAAACGTGCGCAAGACAACACCAACAATAAGGAATCTAAATCATCAGTAGTAATTCCATACAAGAAGGGAACCTCGGAAACCTTACGCAGAATTCTTAACAAGGCAAGAATAAAAGTGGCTGTGATTCAAACCCACAAACTCAATTAGAAACAAGCTGTGTCGGTTAAAGGATCCTGTGGAGCCTTTAAAACAAAAGTTTAATTTATCTAATACCCTGCAATGATTGTTAGGTCAAATATATAGGTCAAAGTAGTAGAACAGGTGAAGTCAGACCAACTGAACATAAAAACCTAGCAAAATCTAGATTGGTTGATCTGAATAAGCTAAGAAATCTAGAGAATATTTCAGCTATAGCACTCACTACATGCAATTACACACAACCATACAATAGGAGGGTGGGATAAGATGACAGTTTTTAAATCTTATGTCACAGGGTGAAGGGGGAGATTGATAACTGCAAACACGTGTAGTAGGAATGATTCAACAACACCTGTCCACCCAGATATCTGGAAAATTCTACTACCCCAACGAAGACAAATAGAAGAGGACAAAGAAAACTATAAAACTCAAGTTTCGAAGTTATGTGATTATAATTGATATGATTATGAACCACAATAAATTTTGTTCGAAACGTCATCCAGTAAATAATACTGTTTCACTGTGTGATGCATCTAATAAGCAAACTAATATGGAAAGCAAAGCTCGTAATTCAGCGAAGATGCCACTTTCAGAGAATTCATTTTCTGCAGCTGTACAATCATATTTATATACAATTTCCTCCATGAAGGAGGGTAGTAACAAAAGTAATGAGTTTTCATAACCGTAGGTGTTAAGATTAGTCAATGCACAAGAGGAGTTGAATAAGTGTACTAGAGCTACGCGATAAGATAAATAATTTAATAAACGAGTTGTACTCAGAATGTACATAGAAACGAAAGAAGATATGGAATTATGTAAGAGTTCTAAACAAATACTAAAGTTATAAGGATTTAATTGGTGGATGTTGCCTAACAGTGGAACCCAGGATAACACGTATTTCGTCTTATTTAGGACTCACCACTGGATGTACTTGCATTCCGCAGTGAGTGGTGATGTTTCCACCGAGGCTCAAACCCAGTGACCATAGCTTCAAACGCCGAAGCGTTATCGTCTAGACCACTTGCACCACAAGAGAGCCACCTTTTGTACAACGGGTCATATTGAATATTTAGTTGAATTTTAGACTTTCCCGTCGATTGACTGGACAACTGGAGAACGCTATTTTTAGTATTGCTAAGAAGAATGTTTCTCTCAAATATGATGAAATTCTTCTCTTAGGGATATCGCAGATTAAGTATCTCTTGAAATCCAGGTCCATGTTAGGTCTTTTTTTGGAACAAGTAATGTTTCGTCTCTCTGAATCTCAGTGAGTTTCAATTTTTGATGGAAATTTCTTTCGGAAGATCTAGTTCTACTTCTAGGGCATCATTTTACGCTTAAGCAAGTTAACAGAACTTCTAAAAATAAAAAGATTCAATTTTATAAATCATAATTAATGCAGTCAAGAAAAGATAATCAATCAACTTCATGTTTTCATTTTCTTTTAAAAAGAATTCCACCTACCAATGAAGGATACATTGGCGACAAAAGTTTCAATGATATCTGCTAACTTTAGTAAAGAAAATAACTCGATACACTTTCATACAATGTCTGCATTTTACCATCACTTCTCAACACAAACTTGTCTGCATAATTAAATGATAAACACACCATCTTATTCTGCACAAATTGTTGTTCTTTCTTTGTTCAAAGTCTTCAATAACAGAACTAGCTCGTCTTCTTGAACCCCGACCGATAACTGCTACCTTGCCGTGGTGGTCGGGCTTGAATGCCGCAGTGACCCAACAAGCTTAACTGACTGGGACTCATGTCCCTGCAGGTCCTACCATGTCAGGAAGGTTGTTTGGATAGCGGTTAGACTAAAAGCAGTTACTATGGGGTACATGGGCTCCAGAATTCAATCGGATCAAATGGCGTATGAACCCATATGGGTCACCGGCAACCATGGGAACGCAGCTCCGCTGCCTTGCGGATTAGACTCCAAGTCAAAGGCTCGGGGGTGGTCCCTTAGGAAAACCACCTGCTTCGGTCTGGGCGCCAGGGCAGTATCTCAGCCCTCACACAATATTGTGTGGCGCATCTTTCTTGGTACCATATTGTACCAAGTTTTTCTGCGTTTAAATAAATAAATAACGTCTTCTTGAATATCACGGATTCGAAGGACCACTGGAAACACAAAACAAATGTACGCCCTGCTGATGAGTGCCAACTAGCACGAAGCCTAGGTCCAAGGCTTCCTGCCGATTGCCTCCAACCATCTAATACCAACAAATGTATTGCATATTAATTACCTGCTAGAATGTAACCAATATCATGCGCCTAATCTTTGCTGTTGTTTCTGACTAAACCCCATTTGTCAACTTTGCGATTTGGTTAATTTTGAACCCTACACGCTGAACGGTAATGTCTCTGATCGCATCACTAAGTGGTGCTGTTTCGAATCTCATGGAGGACGCCCATTAATATGTGTAAAACTTGGGCACTGTGGTAGTAAGTAATTCCATATTAGTTTGTTTAATAAACTAATATGGAGGACGCCCATTCTTTTTAGGTCGCAAATACGCCTTGCTGATGAGTGTCAACAAGCACAAAACTTAATAATAATAATAATAATCACTTTATTCCACAACAATAACAATTTACAGCATGGAATTTTCAGCGTTACACTATGCCGCTAACTGCTTTTAGTCTAATAGCCATCCTGACAATCTTCCTGGTACCGTAGGACCTGCAGGAACATTAGTTCAGCCCAGTGTTGCTTGTTGGGTCATTGAGATATGCAAGCCCTAACAACATGTCAAGGTAGCAGCTATCGGTCGGGATATTTCTATGAGAACGCTTATGAAAAAAGGTCCAAGCGGTGAAGTAATGATAAACAAGCCTTCTTATGGTATATTGGTAGAATTTTGACTACTGGTTAAAGGACATGAATTGTTTCTGTACCCTTACAGATAGTTTAACTAAGTTCAGTGAACTTCTGAAGGGAAGAATATATATTCAACAAAATAGTCTACATGATGTTTACTAATTATGCCGATACTGCCGATATTTACCTACGCAGCAATCGATTGAATAGTACAGTGAGAACTAATGACAGACAATAAGCAAACCAATACGCGAACGACGGTAGGCGGAAGCATGAGTTGAACGAACTTTCGCGGCTACACTCGAAAAGTTAATTCCCAGTTTGTTAATCACGATAAACTATAACACAGGTAGGAAAATGTAAAGAAAGACGGTCATTTATATATCTTAAAAATAAGTGCATTTTATAAATACCACTCTAGTGCTTCCATCCTCTAACTAATAGAACATTTCTCTACTGGAGCTTCCCTCTGAATACAGATAACTGTATTAACATAACAATATACCATAGTGGATAACCATTTGAATAAGTTTATGAGTGTAATTCCTACAGAGTATGTTCTGACAACGTTGGTTGGCTGGGTGTACAGTTCGTTTTCCTCCTTGAAGTGATTGAAAAAATGCTATGCGTACCTTCGGTCTTTAAATTCACAGAAGATCCGCACTCAGTAGAGAAAGTCATATGTACAACCTATTTTATAAATACACACTGAATATCTATCTCATGACCCTGCCGCCCCTAGAAATTCAGAAATCAACGTCGAGGACAAAAAATTCCAAATATCCTTAACAAGAATCCAATGTGTAACTCCACTAGTAAATACCAAACTGAGCTTCAAACGATTCGATATGTCATACAACGAAATAACTCAGTGACATCAGTTTTCATATTCTCCTTATGCACAAAACTCTGTTGGTTGGGAATCATAACTATAAACGCAGTTCCTGAAATCATGATATAGAGTGGCTGCGAAGCAAAAAAAGGCCAATACAAAGCAAAATAAACGGAGAATACTTTCTAATCAGGAAATAGGGCTGAGCTAGAGAAGCCAGCTTTGATAAACCCCTACGATACATGTCGTTACCAATATATGTTATTTCATTCCTTTGCATTCCGATGGGAACATAGGGCTTCAAGGTTTGAAATTCCAGTAGCAGTAGTGTTGTCCTTTTTTCACAGGGTGGAGTTGCTAACCTCACACCCAACCTTCCTCCTTTATCAGACTTACGGCTGTTTAAGCTAGGCCTAGGGGTAGGTCGGTCGTTTATCAAACATCAGAATACCAGTATATATGGTAGCGTTTAAAATAGTCATGTAAATTAAAAATAATCTAGTCTAAGCTAAAATATCATCACATGGATGGCATTCTGTGTACAGTCACACACCCATAATAAGTACGTCCGCAAATGTATGGTCATATCCAATAACTTTACTTCCTAATTACTGGTCTTACGGAAATTGGTGGAGTGATGAACTGGCTTCTTTGGAAGAGGAGGGCAGATGTGTCAGTTATGTGAAAAACGCAAATTGATAAATACACGAATTTATTCTTAAAATGTACTTAAAGGATAGATCTTTTAGTTAAAGGATATCAAAATTCACCCAAGTCCTGACACAACACCTTTCAGTGCTTGCGATGCTAACTAACACCAGCTAATTAATGTCCACGTTAAAATGAAGAAGACAACATAAAGTTTCTCATGGAAACAGTATATTACGGAAAAATTAGGGCCCAATGTGACAGTGTGTTTATCAGTAAAATTACAGAAGAATTTGAAATTTAGACATCGACTTCCATAAACGAGAAACAATCTTAATCACTATCTTGAAATTAGACAGAACCAAATACAAGCGCACATTATGAGGAACCGAGGGCTGCTGAACTGGAATGCAGAACAGGAGGTATGATATCAGACACCATTTCAGATATATGATCCATTGATATAGTTTGCTGACTACAAGCAGTTGATAAATTTTCCAAGTGCATTGCAACTTCTTCAACCGACGGCTTTGTAGGTTCTTCGTTTGAATCTGATTTACTTGGACCTTCATCGTCTTCTTCTTCGGCTGTCTCCAACCACGTCAACCAACGATTCACCTGGGAAATAAAATGACAAAGTGATGTTGAATACCAATTGTCGTATAATAATAAGTTAGTAACTTGATGCAGTTTGTGCACATACACATCGCCATTTGTTTGTAAAATCAAAACTCCTGAGAATCAGGAATAGCTTCATCTTGTCTATTGTTGAAAATAAGACCTGATTTCTCTGAAGGATTATGAATTCAGTACAATACTGACACATCAAGATTTCGCACAATTACGCAGAATATCTTTAAGATAAATTTCGCTTCATGCATAATGAAAGACCAAAAAGGCGGCAGATGGGCACATTTAATCCACCTACGGTGTAAACAGACTGGGTAATTTTCCTTATGTGGTGACATTTCCTGAGCTATGTGAAGCATTCAGTGTCATCCTAGAAACTTTCAGCGCTAACTTCAACATGAAATGGGTCTTCTTAATTTTCCATGAATGATGTGACCGGATCTCCTGATGAGGTTCTTTTTCTAAAGAATTCCAAGAAAACTTGCTTCACACTGAAAGGATGGAAATATTGCGTCTAGAAGGACAACAGAAGCTTCGCAGCTAAATCAACCAGTTTAGAGAAAACATCCTCTGTTATTTCAGGATTAATTAAATTTATTTTTGTGGACTGATACTACGCGTCGTGACGCAAATAGTCAGCCAGTCAGTCATTGGCTCACCGAATTTCAGTGACGACCAAGCAAAAATAGGGAAAAATTTGACACTTATCTTCTACAAAATGAAAAAAATTAATTTAAAGAAAATATTATTGTAACACAAAATATGACTGAATAACCTCGAATAATGCTTGACCCTTTTCAGGATAACTGGGATTCACTTCCTCTTTCCAAGACAGAAAAGCGTTTTCGCTCACAAGTTCGCAGTCGTATAGATTCATAAAACACCGAAACAAGAAGCCTATAATAAAATAATGAATACAAATAATTAATGGTATGACAGAAATCATGTGACTTTAATGACTAACGAAAATAACCTCAAAACGAAAAACAGACAAATCCAGGATATGGAAATATATATGTACTATGTAAACAATGAAATATATGAAAGCCTGATACAGGAATACTAACCTTTTGGCATGCTTTTCTCAACCCAGAAAAGCTGAAGAGCATGCAAAGCATCCAACTGCCGCTCCACAGAGTTTCGTAAGATGTCAGCAAGTGCTTTTGGTACAATGCACTTCCATGCAGCTCTTTCTCTTGTCATTAAAGTTGAGGGTGAAGATGAACTACCAAGTTCAACAACTCCAACCTTGTAAATATATTCATATACAACTGGTAAACAAGCGTGAGCATAGTCCGAGTTTCGAATCCCAACGCTGGTTGCTGGTTGCTTTGACAAATATTCATCTAATCTGGATGCGAAGTGTTTATCCGACTCTTGAGGATTTTTTCCCTCCATATCCGAAATGTTCATCATGAGATTAGAGAGTTCAATGGAAAGACGCAAACTTGGGACAAGAAAATCCAAATCGCGTTCTTCAAGTAGTGCCAGAAGGGCTTCATTTGTACGACTACCTTCTGTTAATTGAAATATATGCATATATGAAGCATGAAATAAATCTTTAAGAGGAAATAATAGGAAGTTTTGTAGGTTAAGTACAATAAGAGAAAACACTACTTAGAATATTAGCATGAGACGCTGAAAAGTTCTTCAGGAGTAGTTTTACTCATCCAAACAGCACTGCGTAGTAATATGACACTAAAGCACTATCCTTGATATAAGAATAGAACTTGGGCACTGTAGTAGAGTATAATTTCAATGTGGATAAATTTTATTTTGATAAAGTCTCATAGTGTTATACAGTAATATTTACTGATGACATTTCGAGTAACTTGATACGATTATGAGCAATAAATTATGCTTGAAACGTCATCAATAACTACTACTGTATAACATTGAGACTTCATCAAAATAAATTTTATCCACAGTGGAATTAAAGCACAATTCATGTAACTATCCCAAACTATATATGCAGAATAGCGAGCAATAAATTATCGTCGGACAGTCAATAAATAACACAATGCAGACGTAGCCCATTGGCTTAAGTTCTCAACTTTTAGCCAATGGTTCTTCAACTCAAATCCCGCTCTGCCTTCTACGGTCTAGGCAACAGAGGTATGATGGGCCCTACTACACACACACAAATGCACAATAAGTGTGGCTCATAGCTTAGTGCACGACCGATTTGTTCTTTATAACCAAAGAGTAATAGTGACGTCACAACTTTTGTATTCATGACGCAGTGTTAGAACAGCAATTCATTCAATGAGAATCAAACTCTTAAATAAATAACGAACTACCATGAAACATGCACATTTTGACGAAATGATAGACAGACACTTTTAATTCTTAAACACATATGGAAGGACCAATAAGTTCCGTGAAAATAATGCAAAGAATCAGAAAATTTCCAGTTACAAAAGTTTAACAAACCTGGGACCATTTGGTTTATTTGTAACCCAGTATCTTGGAACAATTGAATGAGTGAACAGCGCCTTTCATCCACAGTAGCACCATCTATGCATACTGATTCCTTTCCATTCGAATTATAGTCATTATCAACCATTTGAGACAATTTCTGAAGAACAAGTAAGAATAAAGGATGGTGTTTCCCACCACGCAAAGGTTCTGCGAATTCAGAAAGATCCATATGGCGATTCCATATTAAAGCGGCTGATATTGAAGCGATTTTAGACTTTGAATAGATTAACTGCGTAACACATAACACCTTATTTAGCAGGTGCGACCACACAAGAGCCAGAGGGTGACCACCCAGCGACTTCACTGATTTGGGCTTGCGACTATCTTTAGAATTGCATACAGATGCATCACGACATAACAGGTTTTCTGCACATGCAACAAGTAATTCTGCTAATTCGAACGGTTCGGCTTCTGCCAATTTGAGATGAGTACCTACGCACATAAATAAAGAGAATACTCCTAATCACAAACACAATTATCACAAAAACGCGAAAGGTGACCAGTAAATTTAAATTACTGCTGTGTTACATTAGTAAAAATGATAGTACAGTCAAATAGCATGCAAGATTTGTGCAGCCTTCAGTTGAGGATGAAATGTATGGTGTGACAATGTACTAAGAACTCCAAAAAGACTGATAAGGTGCTAAACATCACCTAAATTTTAGTGGAGTCTACAAACATTTGCATTATAAATAAGTGGTGAGTAATATATACTAATACATTGAGCTGGGTGCATGAATTGCGAAGCTTTGATTCTCTTTCTAGACGTCATCTTCAGCAGAGCTTAAAAAATCCATCGTTAGTGAAATATGGTTCTTTCCTGATGACCTCAGTTGTGACCGGCTGTCGCTGGAGGAGAAACAACAACACCAATAAATATCCACCCGTGATATAAATCTTCTTCCATCTAATGCAATCGTACAATCCACCCGTATCATCCCGTCCTGCAATGGTGATGTGGCTTATTGGTTAAGGAAATCAATTTCCAGTTGCTATGCCGCAGGATCGAATACCTCTCTACATACTTCAATACAGAAAACTGGGTAGTCTTATTCATCCTAGCGTTAACTATGTGGCTCATATCTACGTACATAATACATCTGTACACATAACTGAGTTCGGACGAACAACAGAATGATAAGACCTAAAATTAATCGATTGAAAAACTAACTTAAGTTGCATACAATTATCAAGGGTTATTTACAGACTGATAGTTTAAAGTGATTCGTAATAGATCCACAGTCACAAACAATATTGAATGGATATTAAACACAAACTTTGTGACGATCCCACAAGCAGACTATAGTGGGACAATAAAAGTTGTGACTAACGCAGGAAAAACTGCTGAAACGCAAAATCTCACCTTCTTCACACAAATGTAAAACAACAATAGCCAGTACTTCAACTGTTATTCGGCCAACATTTGATAAATTCAAGTGGTTTTTAATAGATACAGGATCCCGTAATTCAACCAACAATTCGAGCTGTAAAGTATGGAAATCAAAATACAAATAATGCATGATTGCATCTCAAGCATCGCAACATCTACCTTCAATATCTGACTCCAGTGTCTATTTACCTAATTCCCATGGAGAACATAAGTTATGCTAATTAAAATGTATGTTTATATCTTATCACAATCAATTCAATCAAGATTTTAAAGTAAATTGGCTGAAGGAATTCATCATGAGCTGACATCAGTTAGACAGCCACTGGAAAACCTGGGAGCACTGGACAGCTGTTTCGTCCCAGTTTGGGACTCTTCATCGGTGAGTGCGTACTGCTGGACAAAACAGATGTTCAGTACTCCCAGGTTTTCCAATGGCTGTCTAACTGATGTTAGCTTGTGATGAAATCCTCCAACCAATCAAACTAAAAAAAATCCCTACAAAAAATCTAATACTTGAAAATTGTACGATAAAGTTCAACAGCTAATCAGTTCGAAAGGCGATTTTAACAACTAACCCAGTTAACTTGAACTAGAAAAGCAATAAACCACACTTATTTGTAGTCATCTGCCATCATAAAAGTCCACTAATTGAGCACAGTGAAAGACTGTCTTTGACAGCGCTGTCATTTACGATCCTTACGAAACAAATACAAATAAAACTAGTTTACAGACATATCCTGAATTAAAAACACTCAAACAGACACACCTATTTTTGTTAATTAACTAAATACTTACCAATTTTGCTGCAATTTTTTTATCATCAGGAGCTTGTGGAAGTGTCAAGTGATTTTCAGCCACATGATTCGGTGACGGAGCAGAACAGTTCGTACTGGATGGTCGAACCTGTTCGATTCTCTGATAGCATTTGTTTGCCGTCAGAGACTGAGCATTTTGGAAACTTGGTTGATCTAGAGTTCTTAAAGTTGACGAATTGAAAGATTGTGGCATAGAAGTAAGTGTCGACTGTGTGTTACCATATGCCGTAGAATTAGCAGGAAATTTCGAGAAAGAAGGCCAGACGAGCTTCTGTGAACCGAATTTCTCATCACTGGTAACCATTGGATTATCCTTTTATGCATAAGCATGGTACGGAAATAGAGAAAAAAGCAAATGTTTGAAACACGTCAGAGGAGACATTTAACTTCATAACCAACTCGTTCTACGGAATGGATTTCAAATTCCAACCGGTTTTTCAAAGTTAAAGATCATTACCTCTAAGTAACCATAAATCTTTTTTAAATACCAGGATAAATGTTATCCACTTTGGCTTTATAATCCCCATTGTTATTTTGACCTTCAATGTGGTATATATATATATATATATATATATATATTGGACATGAATTACGCTGAAGTTAGGAGAATAAAGGCACACACGCACGCGCTTTACAGATTTAACTTTTTATCCTGCTGTCAGAGCTAATTAAGGTGCCTGATGCCTAAAGTAGAGGACTTACATACATGAAGCACAGAGATTTTTGTAATCGCTGACATGAGGTTTTCAAAACACAGTACTTGATGGAAGAACGCTAGAAGAGCTCACCAGTAAAATAATTGGTTGTCGGAATGAACTTCCAGCTTGAACTAGGAGAACTAAAACTTTACACATCCATAATGAAATGCAACGTTTAATACTTATTATTTGAACGCATTTAAACTCCGAATTTCCGTCTTCACAAGAAAAGCACCTCATAAACTTACTAAAAACTATGAATGAATCTAAAAATCACTAAATTTGTACTACAGAAATGATATACCTACAAGTGTTTGAGAGATTACTGTTCAGCTTAATGAGATTGCATCAGAAGCTAATACAAATTCGGCAATTACGTATATGACTTACATCAAAAAGATTCGACGAATGTGACTGACCAAGGGAATGAATAATAGGCGTAATGTGGGACGGACCATTCCTGGAAACGGTTGTCGAATTACCAGAAATGATGTTGGCATGAGAGCTGTGCACTTCCAGGTGTGTAGAGTGCTTCATTTCGTTGTAAGCATTTGTTGTAGAACTGACTGGTGGATTACCAACAGCTTCGGCAGCTAGTTTCCTGAGCATTCGTGGCGGCAAATTGGCATTAGGTGTCGGCACACCGTTACTTGGCGTGACTGCGGTGTTTCGTATTCGTGCATTAACACCGCGAACCCAACCAACATCACAACTACCTTCAGGTTTTTCAATTTTTGCAGCCCAACTGTCAGTATTATTAGTTTTTGTACTCTGACGCTGAACACTGTTCGAATTAGGCAGTTCATTTTTGCTGGATGCGAAACGTCGAGTAGTGTGTAAACGCCCATGGAAAGGGATAGTCGGACCATCAGTGGAACGATTCCCATTGTCCAATAAACATAGATCTCGAGAACTTTGTCGGCATAGTTCTTCACCCATCCGCGCCAACTCCATCCAACTTCTTGCCTCACCATTATCATTCTTTAATGAATTAGAACCCAAACCACGGGCAAAAGGGAATTCATTACTGACTGATGAATTACTTGACCTAGACGAATGATTCATGAAAGCACTTCCAGGTATATCAGGCTGTTCAGCAGAGCGTTCACTTGGAGTCGGAGCAACAAGAATTCCAGATTCCTATGTAACGTTAAAATAATTCCCAAAAGAAATTATCACAAAAAATAAGATTATAAAACTATATAGTCCCATAATAACAAAATGTATTTTTGCAGTGATAACCAATACTACCTAAAAAATGCTATATCTATTAATATGCGAACAGAAACTTTAGTACTTTTTCAATTTTGCAGTCCAAACCTTGCATAAGGAAAGAGCAAAACTTACACAAAATATGGAGTTCAATGTAGAGAAAAAACTAGATACTCCTAAAGACAGCAGACAACGTTTAAGCTTTCATTTTATCAAAAACACAAAAGCGGAGAAAGTACTGTCTTCCGAACAACCCATAAATACTATACTTGTTTTTCCGATATGTTTAAATCTTTATCCGTCAGATTATAATATTTCCATTTTGACTGAGCTGTTTAAAATATTTTTAGTCATTTTTATATTCACAGAAACGATTTCTCCTATCCAATCAAAATAACAATGAGGTTTCACCACACCATTCATTCATTACCATTTAGTTAAACTGGATTGACTATGTGCGGAAAAATTAGTCACCAAATTTACAGGTCATGTCGTTAGTGAAACAAGCTAAGAACTACATGTCAATAAATCAGTATCATTTATATCAACCGTTTGTCTAGGACTCCCATGAATACGTCAGTACTACCTATGGCTCAAATCCATCAATAGATTTGCGGACTTTTCACTTCTGACCATCTTCGGGATTCAGAAAAACGTAGTGCACTAAATCAGTCTCCCGTATATTCTCCCCTAATATTTATCTTTTATTATTCAATTTTTTAACCATAAAATATGAACTGATGAACTTTTTGCATTAGCCGGCTTACATGCATCCACTAAAAAGGTGCTCACACTTGCATTTTATGCAGAAATGCTCACGTTTCGTTTTCACGATACTCAACCCATTTTTCGCAAACGAATGACATTTATAACAAACATTATCTCATTCGACAAATCTTAAAATTGTACGGAAAATTACACATTTTCGCAACGAATTCTTAAAAGAGACAGCCGTATATCTCATACACCGAATCTCATAAATCATCAAAATGACCTACTACGAAGTTACGAATAGACATAGTCATCTTAACTATTTCAAGTTTTGACAGACCACAAAAGAACAGAATCACAAATAGTAGTTTAACACTCTACCTAACATTAAGATATCCAAGTTTTGAGGATACTGAGTATGTAAAGAACTGACTTGCTCAGTACTCTAGAAGTTACTTGGAAATAGGGTTAGGGTGTAGTAGATAGCGCACTCACCTTTAGTATCTCAAATCGAATATCTCGAAGTAAACGGGGTTTGTTTGTTTCAGTACGCTGACCAGCTCGACGTGGGATCCAATTATTCTCCCTCAAATCGATCAAATCCTCAACCATGAACCGCACTCTTGCCGATAAGGAGGCGCTATTCCATTTCGTTGCCTTTGGGCAAACTGTTCTTTCGGTAGATATATTTTCATATTTATTAGAAGTCACTGCGCTTGAATCACAAGTGCGTGACAATATACGACGCAACCGCTGGAAATATTGGTCCATAAGTTTCTTCGCTTTAGGTGTATCCATATATTTTCCAACAGCTGTCAAGAACTGACACAAACACTCCAAATCAACTGATAAAGACTTCTCTTTGGTTGTATCAGCTACAAAATGCAAGGAATAAATTTCAAGTCCGTTAGTATAAATGAAAAAAATACATACATGCTTGTACATTACGTCGAATCAGAACTATATTCCAAAAGTCAGAATGTATGCCGACAACTGATGATTAGCTTTTGGAAGCCCGAGCCAATCGAGGCCTAGTGCATAGTAGGACTCAAGGAGTTTGAATTAAAGAAAAGATTGGGGTCATTCTAATTCACAGAAGCCCTATTGTTTTAAAACTATTTTCTTCCAAAAATCTACATTTGGTTATGATTTAAACTGCCTAAAACATGTTGCCCATTGTTGGTCAATCAGCTTTATGAACAAAGCTAACGCTGATTTCGAGTATGAACTAATGGAAGGATCATTAGACTTCCAGTGTTTGTGAAGATGAAGTGCTCATCATATTCACACAAGTCAGCAGCGTCCAACTTCACACAGAGTTTGCGATCGCTACCTATTCTCAAGCCTAGCGTTGCTCCTGTGAGTTTACAAACCAGTAGAATTTCCCCATATTAAAACAATCCGAAATCGGTATAATCACACAGATGCGGCTTCAACTTACAATGATCTAAAGAGCTACAGTGGTTAAAGCTTTTCCTTGATGCTCTGCGACGCCAACAAGTGATGTTAACCTTAAAAGAGACATGGAGGTCGAAGATATTTGATTCCCACTATTTTCCTTATATGACCACCACTTATAGAATTTTGTCAGTCCATCAGTTTAAGTAGTCGCCTTCAGAAAACCACACAGCAGAAAAGAAGTGATAGTACTGGGTTGAATTTTCAAAGTAGAACTTTGCACAAAGTGCAGAAGTCTAAGTTGCCACATGTAGTGGAAAAGTGCAAATGAGATCAATTTAACGGAAATTTACCGCAGTAAGAATAAGTTAATGGAGAATAAGAACTGAAAAGGTTACAAAAATTGAATGTATTGGCAACATTGAGAACAATCCTGAACCAGATGACCAACACACCTCACCCATTGGTTTTTTGATTCTGGAGAACTCCAACCAGGCATTTGAAGCTAACAGTCAATGACTTCAGTGGTTGATGCTGTTTTCATTTCAACACCTATTCCCTCTTCATTTTAATCCTATGACAGTAAAGAGTGCTCGACAAGGAAGACGATAGTGCACGTCCCAGTCGCCCCAATCGATGCAGTTTTACAATCTAACTGACCAACTTCCCCTTCACGTCTAACCTCATTATTGAGGGACAATTGAAGAATAAAATATCCAGGGAAAATTAATATCATTCTATGCTTAAGACTAGCATCTGTTAACGAGGTAACGGGACTATCAAAGTCTGAATGTGAACAGTGGTGAAATATACCAACAAGTAATCTATTAGATGTCACAATAAGTACAGAACATTCACTTCCTAACTTACCCGTCTTATTTTTTTCCTGCGTAGATGAGTATACCTCCGAACCATTGACTGAACTATGCTGTACCCTACTCGACAGAAGCTCCTGAACGCAACCATGCAAAATCTTTTCTGGCATAACTCCTCGTATTCCAAGTTCAGCGATAAACCGTAGGTTCCCCAAGCATTTCTGACGTGCCACTTGATCATCGCAAGCAACATCTCGAGCTCTGAACTCATCTTCACAAAACTTAATTAAGAAGATCTGGAAAGTCTACCGAAATATTAAGATAGTTGAACTTACCGATTGAGGGCCTACTGTTTCGAAATTAGGAGCACTTCCACATAACTTTAAACACAATTGGGCATACAAAGAAGTAAACTTGGGTTCATTGATGGCTTTTTGATAGATCTGAGGTAACTGCTTTAGGTAATGTAATGACTTACTAGCTGTGTAATAACATAAAGTGAGGATGCAGATATATCTAGACTAAGCAACTTTTCTCCTTGTTGATCAAAGTTCTCGGCAGTAAGTTTGTTGAGAATGCTAATCCAGAATGAGTAAACGAATTTAACTTACGACAAGACCTCTTTACGAATAGAATCGGTGTGGCTTGATTTTGGAGCCAGCGTGGCGCCAGCGGTCCATTTGGGTGTGTTTGTCTCGCGTAATGTATTTGATTTATTTGGAATAAAAGAACTATTTGAAAACTTATGAGTCCAACCAGCTGTCTCTAAGCTAGCAGTTTTTTCAGCTTTGTCCAGAATGTTGATATTTTAACGCGTATAACTTCGATCCAAAACCACTCCTAGAAAAAATAAAATTACAATAAAACGAAACAATTAACAATTAAAGCTACTTATAAGACTATTTGCGTACAGAAACACGTCCACCCTTAAGCGGGAACTGAAACTAAATGGGCTCGGCCGCCAGTGGGATAGTTAATTTAAACAAACTATTCAATTATCTAGAGGTGACAAATCCAGCCCAATATCCAATACCTTTCAACTACCTTGTAAAGACTCCATTACTCTTCCACTTTTTCTTTTACTGTTCCTGAATGATTCTATATTTATGGATGCTTCCAATACAATTCCACATAAACTACTGCAGACTCAGATGAAAAACGATAACTGGAATTGTCTCACATGCCCAGGTCATTGGAAGAGTTAGACACCTGAAGGTAAATTTCATCCATGTTAGTCGGCCATGTTGGATTGAACTTTCCTAATCGTTCGCTTACACATTGGTTTTAACGTTTATCCTGCAGTCATTCACAACTTATCTTGATGCACACTGTTCACAAATGTTGCGTTTCACCTCATTTTTGTTTCCGTTGCTGTTGAAATCAGTTATTTCGTTTGTTTCGGAAGTTTTTACCACCAGGTCAGTTCATTCATTTCATTGTAAAAGTTTCATACGTTGCTTCCATGCGTGGTTGCAGTGTTTTAGTTGTTTTTCAGCTTTTTATGAAATAGTAATGTGTAGAAGTTGTGGAAATTATGCACATGAACATGTTTGGGTGCCCGAAGCTGTTGTTTCCGGTTCGTTTGTTGGCTGCCATTATTGTCGCTAGCTCAGATAATCACTTAATATGTAGAAATCTGGAAAAACAATGTCTTTCACATTCATGTTTACAGCATGCAACAATCTACGAGTCAATCTGGTGAGGCGAGTACGATCAGAGTTGATATTAGCAAGGTTTTCGAAGAACATATCAAACCTGCGGAATTTGGAACCTGGGTTGAAGTTGAAAAAAATCTTCGAAGCTTCTCGAGAAGGTGAGTATACCATCAGTGTGTCTTTATCAGTTAAAAAACCAGATATATTGTGGGAGAATCTTAATAAAGCAAGGATGAGGCACATGTGAAGAATGAATAGGTGATGTTTTTATGTGCTTTTGTAAACTAAAAGAAATCGTAACGTAATCACATCCTTCCTAAAGGGTAAGTTACCTATGGTTGTTAATGCCTAATGTACTATATCCAAATACACGAACCAGAATTGCATGTAGTAAAGCCAATGTTAACAGCCATTCAATATGTTGCAAAACGATTTAAAGAAGGAATAACGTACGACTATCTACTGAGTATACGAATTATCTTAAATAAAGGTAACTATTCGAATTGCGGTCTACAGTCGGTAGTTTTTTCGAAGTTACAACAAATTGTTTCAGTTCAAACAATGGAATTCTTGTTTTCCAGATGTGTTTTCATTTCTTCGTAGCTATGAATATGAATGTTCATGATTTTTAAGGAAATTTTAGATAAATTTTACTTGAACTAGTGGCTTTCTTTTGCTTGGTGATGCGAACAGACAATTGGGCAGCAAAGCATAATGTTCTGTGATTGAGGGCCGTAGTCGTTGTGTTGAGGATTAATATCGTGCGTCTAACATCTATAACCCTATGGTTATAGCTTTTTCCTCATGGTACATTATGATATCTAGAAATCATAAGCAAGCTGTGTCAATGCATTTGAAGAATGAACGATCAATTCATGGTTGCTTACTCAAAACAAACTCCGTACTTTGGTGGGACTCATCGATACGGCAGTCATCGTTCCATCATTCACTGTTCCTCAGAAGACGGATTTCGATCCACGGCCGACGCACAACCGATATCAATGGTCGGCCTGCAAAATTTGGGCTACCGATATCACATTCTGAAAATTCCATACTTCTGTCAAAAAAAAGTGTGGAGTCAAGCTATACTAAAATAAAAAAATAAATAAAATACTGTCAGAAGTATTATTGTGATTAATTGTTATGACATTTATTCTTGGACTTTCTGTATAATTACCTAATGGTTGGTTCCATATTGGTGCAAGAATAAAGGATTCTTGAGTCACCAATCTGCGTTCTGGTTTTTTGCGTTGGTTACTGTACATTGTTGCTGAAGGTTTTCTAAAGACAGCGTTAAGTCTGAGTGGCTTTTTCGCGTATCCATGCTACGATGTTCGTTGTTATATTGCCATGGGTTTCAAGTGGCCTCGATCTTGGGGGAAGATTTAATTGATGTAATTTTGCGATTTCATGGACATAAGTGAAAGAAAGTTATTATCCTGGAATAAGGACAAGTTTTTCAGAAGGTAAGGAGGACTTTATCTTTCAGTTTACTCGTATATATACTATTGCGCATCAAGTTGCACTGCGTTTCCACATGTAGCAAAAGATTATGAATACCTTGCTCTTCTCCTCTTCATAAGAAAGTTACTTCACAATATTCGCTATATTGAGCTCAGTAAGGACAAATATAAATTTTTCCACTCCATTGTTGTGAGTTAATTAGTGAACTGTAAACGTGTAGGCCCCTAAAGTTATGCATTTGGCATGCATGCTTCATAATGAAATCAGGAGTGTGCATGTTGTGCCAAATATTCTGCGCTTTCTGTATGGATTCGATGTTCATCAAGTGGCTATTTAACAACTACTGAATGTTGCATGCGATCAAGCTGAAAGTACAACTGGTAATTCCAAGAATTGTTGTCATTTTCATCGGCAGCAGTTCACTGCCTATTAAGTCTACACAAGTTCAATACCCATTTCTCACTTCACTGAGGAGACATTAACTAGGATTCTGGAAAAGTAGAACGTCATTATGTGAATTTTATCAATCTGTAGATTGCATTCCATTCACTTAATACTGAAACTAAACTATGAGGAAACTGATATTTCAAAGAAGGATATAATGTAAGGCTCATTTCTACAACTTTCGTCCTCATTTTAATTCACTTTCATCAAACATTTATTAACAGAATTGTCTGTCACTCAATTTAGGGACTTACCAGGGAACAGTCTCGTCAACTAAGAGTATGCTGATGATATTGTCCACTTAGTCTGTGAGAGGTGACCATTGAAACTGGAAGATTTGAAAAGAGTACTGGTTTTTGATCGTAGTGTCTTTGCCCTTTCTTCTGTTTTAGTAGTCTAATGTGGTGAGTAATATTGAGGTTAAACTTAGTGGTAAGTAGAAATGTGACTCCAAACGTTGTTAATGACACAGATGCACATATTTGAGCAACCCTTATGTTTTTTCTAAATTACTGTTCGTTTTCCATCACATTTATGCTCATTAGAGTTCCATTTAATTTCTTTTTTCTCTACCTTCATGTGCTATATAGAATGTGATAACTTAAACGGGTGCACTTGTGTGCAAGCTTCTATGTTGAAACTCAGTCTGTCATAATGATCTATAGTCCAGGTATAATGAAATGCTAAAACGTGGATAAAAATAAGCGAAAAGTCAAAAAATGATAATCATACTTTTTCACTTGGTTCTTGTCTAACTGAAAAAGAGATATCTTACAATAATTCCTCCTCTTACCCGAGATAACTCTCACACTCTGTCTGGTTACATCTCACGAGTTAGTTCATTTTATCCCGTAGTCCAAATGCGAAGTCGAAACACATCTTATGAAACATGTTTTGCTTATTACCAACTAAATATAATATTTTCCAAGTGTGCAATGCTACAAATCGAACTGCTGCACTTCTGTACTGAGTTCTCTGTTAAAACTCGGTCAGTCAGCTTTGTCACTGCAGCTACCTAGTGTCACAACTCACTTTAGTGTTTATTGGCTTAAACAATTATTACCACCGTTTCCTAGGTACTCTATGCATTTCTCAGTTCCTTAAGTTGTCCGGATAAAGTGCACCAAAGAAGAAACCGTGAACCGGAAGTCAGTAAACGGCCATGAGAAATTGTGTGAATGGAAGTGAATGAGATGAGCGATATTTTTATCCCTGTAGTATGCTTAACTAAAATGCTTATCTTATGCATTATGTGTCTCCTAATTGTTTCATTTCTGTCTTCCTCATTTCAGGTTGTCCGACTTCGTAAATATTCTACTAGATGTCATCATACACAGTGTCTGAAAGCACTCTTTCAATACATCCACCTCCCACAAAGTTGTTGGTATGAAGCCTTGAGATTATTCACTTCGGGCTGTAGTACAA